AATTCCGTATAATATATTTAAAATTTCTAAATTAAAATTGTTATAACTTAAAAAAAAAACAAAAAATTTTTTTTTCTTAAAAGAAATTTATAATTTTCTGAATAAATAATAAAAAGAAACTACAAAATCATTGAATTTTCAGCTCGCTATGATTTTTCCAAGTCATATATATCTCCTCTTAATTTCTAACCACCCTAACTCTGTCAATTTTAATAATTGCAAAAAATGTCAAATATTATTTTTATGCAAAACTTTATGCTTTACAGTTTTACTTTATGCTTTACAGTTTTTGTTAAGAACTTTTTTTGTAGCACCTACCGTTTTTAAATAACCTTAAAAAAACACTTTATTTTCTTGTTTTTTGACATTTGCCGGTGCCTGAAAAACAAATTTTTTTTCACGTATCATTTTCAAATACTCTAAAGTGACTTATATCATAAATTCCTGTATTTCCTCCAAAATTTATTACTAAACGAGATGAATATGAAAAAACACTTACGTCCGTTCTTATCAAATTCTTTAGGTTGTCCGTGAAAGCTTCGACGTTCTGTTGAACGACAGCAATGTCTTTTTTTCTGCTGGCCAAGTCGGCTTTAACGATTTTTTCCAAGTATTGATACTCCTGCCTTCTGTCGTCTAGATATTCAATGCCCAACTGGCCTAAAACGGTTGCATTTATCATACATCTACCTTGGGCTACACCATCGTTCCTTAGCGAAGCCAAAATCGCATCAAAATATATAGCATCCTAAAAACAAACTTTTTTTATTGAGGTGTTACAAATGAGTGGTTTGGTATATAAGAGTCGAGGCATGAGGCCATTAAGACATTGATGGTTACATACATCAAAGTATATAAAAAGAAAGCGACATACTAACTAAAAATTAATGGAATTCTAGGAAGAATAGAAACTACACATCACAGATATTGAAAACAAAACAGAGCAACTATAAATCACAGAATACATTTTAATTAGACTTCTTTAATATCGGTAAAACTGCTTTATTAAAAAGCAGCCATGTTGAATGGGGAGGAAATTAGGACCGTATTTGAAAATTCTAATAGTATTTTGCGTGATACTTGCTTAAATGTATGAGATAAAATGTAATTATTAGTAAGTAGCCATGTTTATTTTTAACTCAATAGTATCTATTAATATGGTACAGAATGTTAAATATTTTGGAGCGCCCTGTTTCAAAAAACGCGGATTTTAAAAGAATACCTGAATGTGTGATGAAAACCTAATTTTATTTTCATCTTCTAATTTTGACATATAAAGAGACATTTTTTATAATCGCACAAGTGTTAAAATGATCTACTTTACACAACCAGTTACATACCGTAAAGCGGGGTTATTCTGGACTTTTTTCGAACCTATTTGGATGTACCATAAAAAGCGTCCAAGAATAAATAAGTTTCATATCGAGTTTGGATAGGTCTACATACAAGCTAATATTACCATGATAAAAAATACGACCCCTTTTTATAGAGGGTCCAAAAAAGTTTTTTGAAGGTCTGTCCAAAATAACCCCATAGAGCGGGGATATTTTAGAATTGGCAAAAATAAATATAAATATGAATATGAAGTTAAACATCTCAAGGGGCTTTTTTAGATATAAAAAAATATATCTACCTGAGTATTTTTTCATTTAGGAAAAACTACTAAAAAACACAAAATATTAGTTTTATTGATTTTATTACAAAAAATCGAGAACATTTAAGAAACATAATAGTCCGGTCAATTTAGACATCCGAGGGTACAAAAATTCCCACCCAGCTAAAAATTGGTAGGATTGTTCAAAACACCATTATAAATAAAACCTAAAAAGTCCTCATCAATCCGCCACCTGGAAAAAAATTTACTCGGGGTCAAATGTCACAAAAACGGATTTTTCGCGATTTTCAGCAAAACGGTAAGTTTTATCACAAAATTAGTTTAGACAAAAATTGTAGAGCAGATATATATCTATAAAAAAATGTGTAAAACTTTTTTTCCTAAGAGCCACCGTTTCTGAGATATAACGATTCAAAAAGTTAGAAGAGTTGTAATCGTCGTAATATGCACACGTTTCCACGCCACCTTTGAGATAGTGTACTTAGCGCGTTCTTTTTAACGTGGTTTCCCCGGCAGGCCTATTTCACGAATCTGTGGTGACTATTTTTAATTTGAAACAATTGAATAATAAAAGATATTGGCAACGGTTGAAAATGATAAAAGCGGTGTAAATAAAAAAATAGGGAAATTTATTCGTCGAAATCATAATTCTCAAATATTTCTGCTTCTTCTTCTACTTGCTCTTCTTCTTCTTCTCCTCCTCGTTCTTCTTCTTCATCCTGGGTGCATGTAAATTGGCTGAATAGTGATACATTGCATGTCTCCTCGTTGGTATCAAACGAGTCCTCGAATATCTTCGCGGATGATTGCTGCAGCAGCTTCTAAAATTCTGAGTCGTTCTTCTTTTTTATTCAACTTTTTTCTTTTCATATCAAGCCTGATACAAAATATCATGATGATTGTCTACTAAGCATATGAATGTTGATGTTCCCGATTTTTCAGTGATAATAATTTTATCACCATTCCTTAGCTTCAATCGTACCTTTAGTGCCCGGTTATCTATAGTTGTAGTTTTGCAAACATTTCTTAATTCGTTCAAAGTGAATTGACGGTCATCGCTATTTTCGATGTAAGTGAATATTTCCTCCATTGCCAGATTCGTAGTTTCATCTTGAGGACGACCGACTTTAACCCCAGTAAGCGGTTTCAAGAAGGAATTAAAGCAATCATGATGATACTTATCCTCAGCAGCAACTACATCATTTTTGAATTCGAGTCGAGTAAGAACAGCTTTTGCCATAGCATCAGAACGAGTCCGAGCTGTTTCCAGAATCTAATCTTTAAGTGTAAGTGTACTTACTTGTTTACGGCGAGAATCCAAGGATTTTCTTTTCTCATGCTCTTCATTCAATTCCTGACTGTAAAATAAGCATTGTGTTTTAGAACAATAAGCTAATTCCCTTACACGTGCTCTAGTACGAGGAGGACCCACAATAGATGTACTGTCTTCTTGTTCTTCATGTTGTCTTTTAATAGCTGCAATAGAACGACGATTACAACTTTTCTAACTTTTTAAAATGTTATATCTCAGAAACAATGGCTCTTAGAAAAAAAATCTTAAGACTTTTTTATAGATAATTATCTGCTTTATAATTTTTGTAAATAAATAAATTTTTTTTCAGGTGCCGGATTGATGAGGACTTTTTAGGTTTCATTTATAATGGTGTTTTGAACAATCTTACCAATTTTCAGCTGGGTGGGAATTTTTGTACTCTCACTCCTATTTTTTGGTTTAATTTGACCGGACTATAAGTACAAATTCTAAAAAACAACGTAAACTTAAATTAAATTTGGTTCCTTCAACCTTTTAGCATAATTCGGCACTCAACCAGGAAGTACCCTCCTAGTAAATGTAGGATATTATTGTCAATTATAAATCCTCATTAATTATAAAAATACTCTTTTTCCTGCCATTTATTTTTGGAATCTGGATCATTTTTTTATGTTCTTCAAGAACATTGTCTATATCTTTTACATCTGGTGTTAGGAATCGTTCTTAGAGGATTTTTTTTTAAATCTACCGTGTAGGAGCACTCTGAATTGATTTTTGAAATTGAAACTGTCACAACGAAGTAGCATTTTTCTTTTATATTCTACCAATACTTAGTCATTTAAAATCGGTTTCTTAAGTTCAATCGAAGAATTTGCAAGTGGCACGTTTTCTTTGAAGTGTATCAATAGCATATGATCATCACTGCTACTGCTATTTGGTGATTGATCCCAGGGTTTCGAGAATGTTGGCAAGTCATCGAAACTCTCGGGGCTATCGCTTCCTTCATCGGGTTCATATGGTACATCAGATTCGTCAGAAGAAGACGATGATGGTACCGCTGATTTCTTTTCTTAAGTTTCAATTTTTTAGCAACTATTTTTTTTGGAATCACAGTGGTTGAAGCAACAACATCAGTGGCTGACACACTCTTTCCAGGCTCTACTGAAACTCTCTTGCGTCTCTGTTTTTGTTGTGATGGTGCTTCTGTACTATGACACATTTCTTTTAAAATGTCGGAGGCTTTACCATTTTCATCCAATTTTTGACGAAGTTTATTTAGTAGCTACGGAAATATATCTTTTGATAACGTAGACATTTTACGCCCTCCTGTTTTCTTTCATTCGGTAATTATCGCTCGCCAATACTTCTTTAGAGGCGCGTAGAATGGCACATCAAGGGGTTGCATCAAATATGTTGAGTTAGGGGGTAGGCAGATAAAAGATATGTTCATTTTTTGGCATGTTTGTAATACTTTCTGTGAAAAATCTGAGGATAGGTTGTCGCTAACTAAAATCTGCAATAAAAAAAATGGGGATTATTATTAAAATAGCAAAATCTTGCATCCCTAGATTATAAACAAACCTTAGCTCCATCCTTGTTTCTTAAATTAGGGACAACAATGCTAAAAACCAATCCTCAAAGTAGATAGCATCAAACCAGCCACTTCGAGGCCGATTGTAACGCGCTTCTGCATGTCCACCGTGAGTCCAACTATCCCACGTATGATCTGCCTTTTAGACTACATAGTCAGACAAAAGTTGTCCATCTGCAGTTTCAGCATACATTATGCTTATGGCGGTTTTCGTGGAGTTGACTACCTTTTCAGGGTACTTGGTGTCTCTCTTGAATATACATTTTTTTGCCCCTGGGTTGTCAGACGGGTCTGTGGTATTAAACATATCTGGGGCATTGTCAAAGAAAATGTCCAAATTCTGCCTATTTATCATCGCACGTTTGGTGGAGATATTCGCAGAAAATCGATTCGTAATTGAGTTTTTATTTCTCTTCAAAAAATTTGAAGCCCAATCTCGACCGGGTAGATTATTATTAAGGCTTTTCTCAAGATAAGACTTGATTAATATACTCAAGTCAGTAATGTCAAACGGAAAGCCCCAGGAAGAAACCTCGTTCAGATGTTCAACCAGCACTTTTTCTTCATCGCTTGTTAAAATGCAAGGCTCTTCTGCTGTAGGAAAAGTGCTTTTTGTCCTAGCTCGTAAAGCTAGGGTAGACCTTGGCACCCTATATTTTTTAGAAGCCTTATCAAGGCTCAGACCATTATACTAAATATCACGTATGGCGTTTTGGAAGGCTTCTTCCGTATAGTTTCTGTACATGGTATAGTTTTTAGCATTTCGTGAATGGGTTAAAGTTTTTACGTAAGTGCGAACCATTTTTACTTTCCTATCTGTATACAGATATAAGGAAAGTATAGGAATCATGATTTTTTTCGACCTCGAGTTTTCGACGTATTTTTACATTTTGAGGTCCCCTGAATCCGTTTTGACTATTTTCGCGATTATGTCTGTGTGTGTGTGTGTGCGCGCGTGTGTGTGTGTGTGTGTGTGTGTGTGTGTGTGGGCGCGCGCGCGTGTGTGTGTGTGTGTGTGTGTGTGTGTGTGTGTGTGTGTGTGTGTGTGTGTGTGTGTGTGTGTGTGTGTGTGTGTGTGTGTGTGTGTGTGTGTGTGTGTGTCGCATAACTCATGAACCGATACACAGAAAAACACCAAATTTTAAACTTAAGCTTTGTTCCAGCGTCCAATGAACTGATTAGATTTTGAGCAGAGTCGAAACATCTGGGGGGGGGGTACTTTATAGGGGGTCTTTCTATATTTTATGGAATATATCTGTTATTTACGTT